CAGTATATATACATTCTGATTATTATGTGAATATATATATATATGTACAAGAATATACATATGCATTTTTTAATTGATATCTTTATATATCTTTATTATTATTCATTTCACAGGCGGTTTTTGATATGAACTTCATCAAACACTTGCCAGCTTCCAACCAGCGACAAATCGACGAGTCTGGCGGGGAGTCATAATATGGCTTCTAGCAACCCCAAAAAAGATAGAAAAAAGTGTTTCCAGGATGGTAGTTCGATGATGTGTCCCTCAAAAAATGTTCGATGTGTCCGAGGATTCTATCGGTTTGGGGATTGCGATTAAGTCCAAAACATCTACCAAAGTTGAGGTTTTTTTGTCCCAAGTTATGGCCAACAACTGGATACTGGGCTACCCTCTTTTCACATGCGAAATACCAGGTGCACCTGGTTTCTGTTGCTGAAACGGCTGAAACCAACAAAGAAGACTTTGGAGATGGTATCTCGAACGTTGATTCAATTTATTTCTATTTGGTGATAGTGATCGTAGAATAATTATAGCTGGCTTATATGTTTCCAACAAGCTATTGTATTTCTCTCCCCTGTTTCCAACATAGCTTGGTCACTCGTGGCCAAGAAAAGCGTCGCAGGCGTCTCCCGAGCTATGCGCACAAAACCAGGAATCTCTCCGGTCTGCCGGGGGTGGCGAGCCAGTGGACTATCCCAGTAAGCTTATTCTCAAACTATGCCAGATGGAGTTGAGACGCCTTGAGGATAAAAATTACACGAAACTCATGGGTTTTTGAATGGTCTGGACATATTTTGACTGGTTATTTTCATGATCTATAGAAATTTGAGGGTGTCCTGTCCTTGCCCCTGTAGGCTAATTCTGGCAATCTAGGGAATGTCGCAAAAATCAAAAACTTAATGTCACAAATTTCAAAGGTCTTCAAATTCGCTCACTTCATGGTCTATCCTAGGGTCGAGAGACCAATACACCGGCAAAGCGTCCGAGGGTAAGGTATCCAGAAGTAGACTGTGGATCTTTGTCTTGGCACCTGCATTTTGAGCTACAACCATGCAGTGGTGTGCTGCAGCAAGATGTACAGACATGAAATAATACATCTCGTGTCTGATTCCAAGCTGAAGTGTTCAGGTTTCTCATGTAGAAGTTCGCTTCTTCTCGACAGAGACGGAGTATTGATTGGCATCATTCACATGAGGCGATTGATTGGCATAACCTCCATGTTTCTGCTCACAGAAAATTAACGAAATAGATCCATCATTTGTAGATCATTAGAATTCATTAGATCATTTCTCGAGGAAGCTATGGATCCCATGGATTTGCATGGATTTTCATTTCTTTTGGTATCTTTACCCAAGGTGAATAGTCCTCCCTGGTACTCATCCTGGTCCCCGAGTCGTTATGGGGGTCCGGACCGCCACCCGAGTCGATTCCTGCGCGCGTCGTCGCTTCACTCTTTTTTCGCTTGCCGGATTTTCGTGGACGGCACGGAAGGATTCTTTTTGAGGGTTTATAGCAACCCCCCAAAAGAGATAGACAAGGTATGACAAGGTCCAATTCATCACTATTGTAGTGGGATCTGTCACGATTCTATCTTTTGGGAGGTGCTTTTCTATAGAAGGTATGATTGCTACGGATCTAATGGCGAATATCCACTCGATAACCTGCGATACATCCCATTTCTGTCTAAGGATGATCTCATCGACAACTCCAAGTTTGACCCAGAGCTGAGACATCCAAGGGTTTCAAGAATGGAGAGCTATAAGTCATGTATGAAGATCAAGAAGTGGAAAGTGGTGAAGATATGGCAGATATGGGAAGATGATCCATTCCAACTGGACCTGGTATATCTCAAAACCTCATGTATTTCATGAAACCGCAAATTTGGATGTACATACATCGCATCAAAAACAAATTGACATACACACTCTGGGAAATGGAAGATTTGCCCCTTTGCAGATGATTTGCGTGTTGATCATGATGATTTTCTAGCGCTGAGTTGGCTGAGAACGGCTTGTGGCAATGCTGCGGTACAAATGATTCATCCCTTGATGCTCGAGAGGGATTCTCGCTCAGGGGAATGTCTGTGTGACAGATACTGCGCATCATTTTGGATAAGCTCTGTGAATCGTCTTAAAAGTACGGAGGGTACTTGATCTGTTTGTGTGGTCCAGGAAATGACCAGCCCAGGATCAAATCGGAAGTGATGGTGGGTAGGTAGAAGCAGGTCCAAAAAACATCCCAAAACTGGTTCATGGTTCAAGCATGTCTGTCTCTTTGTTCTGCATATTTTTCAAGATTGCCATTTTCGATCAATGAAATCCCTGAAAATCCAGCAGCCATCGGCAATTGGAATATTTTGATTTTCTCCGACAGGAGTGACAGGACATTGTGTGACTCGTCGCATTTCTGAATTCATCGCCGGCTCAGGGGGCAATGTTTCTTGGCCGCGGATCCACTAGTTGGTGGTTTCAAGCCATCACAAAGAGTTGCGGATCGTCATCCCAAAGTCGGTTCATTTTCTTTAAAATGTTGAAGCCACCGGCAACCACTTAGATGTCTCAGATTCTTGCCTCTGCTCCTGTTTCAAAGTCATCCAGAGAAAAAAAAAAAACGACCGTTGGGCTTCGCACCAAGCAGGAGATCACGTGGTTGCTCAGCCGCCCTCCCAGCGTCAGTAGGGTCTGAACATCATATTTACGCGGTGAGGCTCATCCTTAGTGGCTGAGTGGACTGTCCAAGCTGCGGCTGTAGGATATCATATCTGAAGATTAGATGGCTGGGATGATCTTCGCAAAAAAAATGGATCATTGATGATAATTGGATGGCTGCAATCATTGGATATCCATGATATTCCATGATATATGATGGCAAGTTAAGCATTCCGCATTTGAAAATGACCGACCAGGTTGAACCTCTGGAAGCCGCGAGTCGGAAACCAGGATTGAGAAGGTCACAGTGGGGGTTGGGAAGTGGCTTCCAAAAATGGCAGTGCAAGTACTTAGACCTTACAAAAGACATGTTAGTAGTTGTTAGTATATGGTCTCTATAGAATGGGAAGCCATGACATTGGACATGACTGTCACCCAGCAGGTTAACATCACTAAAAAGTGCTGATCTGACCCCCCCCAAAAAAAAAAACTAACTATAAACCCCCAAAAAAAATATCTATATATATAATGGGGGACTCACTCGACCCCTGAAAATGAGATATAAAATGTGTATTTAAAAATGCTTTTATCCGATGTATGTCCCCCCCATTCTATAGAGGAGATTCCTAAGAGAATTCGTTATGTATATATATATATGAAATTACATTAGTTATATATAATGATATATTATGATATGTATTATATCAAATTCACCTTCGAACCTGACCAGGCATCCGGATGCGGAGAACACTCGAAGGTGCGCACGTGCAACTCATCCACGGTGACTTTCCGAGCCTGCTCCCGGGGCTAGGATCCAAATGGTCATCTGATACTGTAAGCATCATATATTAGGAGTATCTTTGCATATAATCAGATATGTTCATGGGATTCATGAGTATATATATATATATACACATATGTATATATATATATACATACATATATATATATATGTACATTAATACATTGATACATAATATGCATATCAGGCCGCATATAGCTATGTCATGGATTGCCATGGAATATTCGTCATTCCTGTGAAACACAGATTCGGCCTGTGAGGGTGTGATGTCGCAAACAGCCCCGAGGTTACCGCACACATCGCAGTAGTTCCTAAGCGCCGTGATGGCCGTGGAAAGGTTTGTCGAAAGATGGGGTATACCGCAAGATGGCCATTGTACCCTCCGGCAAACGTGGCAGTGGAAAAAATTATAGATGATGTTCCCATCAAAGCCCCCATTTATGAGGATTTTCCATTGCCTCGTTTCATTACTAGAGGGTAATCATCAAATTTGGCGGAGCCATTTTCAGACACGCTCATGAATGTGGGACGCGTTTGAGGCCGATGGCTAGTGACATCTAGTGACAAATATTCCCTGTGAATGCACGCAACAGATCCCATGTTCAGTCTTACCTTTTGGTCTCCTTTCTTTCAATATCTTAAATAGGAACACAACACCAGAGCCACATCCACAAAGAAGGCAGTTCTTACAGTTGCCATTCTGGCTGACCAAGATGCGGAGCAGAGAAGATGGTCAAACATCGATTCATGTGCTGCCATTCAAAGCCCTGCCACTGTCGCTGCTTCAAGCCAGGAGCAACTTCTTATGTTATGAGTTGACGAAAATTGGGACACACCAACTCATCTGCACATGTGGATTGCACGAAGACATGGCAGGAATTCTTCAGGGGAACATGTGTCTCCCCATCGACCCTCCGACCTCAGGTTTCATCTCATGGGACCTGATAATACAGCACAATCCGTTGTCCTCACAGAAGCCTCGGAGCTGGAGACGACCCAAGGCGACTGCCAAACATGAAGATATACCCTTTGGTTGAACATTGCTATGGAAAATGGGCCATTCACAAATGATTGCCTGTTAGAAATGGATAGAAATTGTGATTTTCCAGAGCTATATTAAGTTTCGAGAAGGCTGTTGAGGTGGAAAAATTGCAGTTGAATTTGGAAAAACATGAGCCAACATGCCAAAAGCATTGGGTTTCACGGCTGCAACTGCTGTCAACTGATCAATAACACCAAGTCTGGTCACAAGGCATCTGATCCAAATCACACATCCCACGCCATCGCACAGCTCCGTTCATGCAACACGCAGGTGTGTTGCATCCCTACTTACCTTTGATCCCAAGAAATTTTGGCCTCACAGCTAGGGCCATGTTGTGAATCAACATTTCGGAACCAGAAAGACCGTCATAGACCCCTAAGTAGCCACACTTCACTAAGTAGTCATCCCAGTCGCATCCCATCCCAATCATCCCAATCATCCCAGATATCCCAGTCTTCAGAGCCCAGTTCAACAAACCGTTGCCCCAGTTGCGGCAAAACTGCCGCGACTAACCGTCCAAGCTGCGTTCTGTGACGTCGGGGCCAAAGAGCACCCCGCCTCCACGGGGGCTCGGCAGCCGACCCAACTGATCCATGGGATCCGACCACAGCAGATCCTGTGGGAAGACTCTTTTTGTAGAGATTTATTAAGATAGATTGGGAGAAAAGAAGGGGATTTAACCGGATAAAAAATGGGATGTATTGGGTATTCGATGGGATTTATTGAGACTGGGATTTAATGGGATTGGGATATAGATATAATTAGATATAGTGGGGATTTGATAGGTTTTAACAGGATTTATTTGAGATTGAAGTGGATTCAATGGGATTGAATGGATTGCAATTGGGAAAAAAGGGTGATAGAATGGGGATATTCTGGTGGTGTAATGGACGATAATGGGATAATGTTGATATGACTATCCCCTTATATCCATAGTATGATTGGTTTTAACCCCCCATATCCATTATTCTTATCCATAGCAGCTATAGAACAATCCATCTCATTATATCCCTATGATATCCGAGCGGTTAAAACAAATTCGATATGGCTAAATCCCCCCCAACTAACATAGACATGAGAATCACCACATTTAGATTTAGAGGAGTGTAGTCTCCCCAATGTTTTTTTTCATGGCAGAATCTATGGTTAATTTGCGGGATAGTAAATCACCGTCCCATGATGGTCAAAAAGGCAAAGCATCGAACTAAATTGACCATTTTCTATAGCTATCTTCAATTCCCGATTGTTCTAAAGCCCCCATTCCAACAACCGTAACCAACCATTGAATTTTGAATTTTTCAACCTACCCCGCTTCATTATCAAACGTGGCAATGGAAAATCCCCTTGCCAAAATGGAGGTGTCTAGCTGGGAAAATAGGGGGGTGTTCCAGCAAGCCATGTTTGATTTACCGGAGGGTATATATACATATATCATATAGAGTGTCACCACTAATCACTACTAACTACTACTAATCACTAGTAATCATTATTAATTTGTTAATCACTATTAATCATCATTAAACACTATGTACTATGAATCACTAGTAATTAATCACTGTTAGCAATCATTAATCACTAATAATCATTCATAATTCAGCACTATTAATCATGACTGCCATCATTATTATTGATCATCACTCCCATCACACAACAATCATTAATCATCACTATAATCATCATCATTAATCATCACTATGACTACAATCATCATCATTAATCATCACTATCATCATCATTAATCATCATTCATCATCATTAATCATCATACATCATCATTAATCATCATTCATCATAATTAATAATCATTCATCATCATTAATCATCATTAATCATCATTGACCATCATTAATCATCATTCATCATCATTAATCATCATTCATCATCATTAATCATCATTAATCATCAGTGATCATCACTGTTAGTAATCAGCCCTTCCCAGGTCCCATAAGTCAGCGTCCAGCATGAGCTGATCCGCCGTCTCATCGGGTTCTCGCAGCCGATTCAGCTGTTGGATCTCCGACAATTTCACACCGTCCTGGACGAGGTCAGCGACATGTGGGGACGAGGTCGAGGCTTTCATTGGGAATTGCATTGGGAAAATCTACAGGAAACCATGCTTTTTACCATTGAATATAGGGGTTTCCTGCAAATGTTCCCATCATCCAATTCTATGTTAAGGATTTTGTGAAATGTTTGGGGAATGTATGAGAAAATCATGAGATTTACTGGGATTTAAGATGATTTCATGATGCTTCTGGGACTGAATGGGATATAATATTGTGGAATGTAACCTACTATGGATGGCAATTGGGGTGTTATAAATGGCTATAACCATGGGATTTTGATATAAGTTGGGATACAATCAACCCCTGTGACCTGAGATTCTACTTTTTTTCCTGGAACTGCCACTGCGTGGCACTGTGTGGATGGGCCTTGGAGCTAAGGCCGCCGTGCACCACGAAGACGGAATCGTTGACCAACGTACAAAGTGGAAGATGAGTAAAAGCGTCTGAGAAGAGCCGAAACAACTCCTGACGTCCGCGAAGATGTCCATGAAATGGACCAGGGCAAGCTGCTACCATCTCCGGTAAGAAAAAAAGGGTAATTTGTTACGTAGCGGAAGCCATGGCCTGTTTACTTCGATGATTCCCGGATCAAAATAGTGATGTTTCAAAGCTATAGTGGCCTGATGGGACGGTGAATGTTGAAGAAAGCAAGTTGCAATGCAAGGAAGTATATCATAGATCATACGGTATGGTGCATGCTGCCAGATATACACACAAGTATATTCATCCGCTGAAGGCATGAGGTTCTCGCACGAGATTCTTGCTCTAAGGCTGAGGGATTCTCTTTTGTAGCGCTACATCTCAAGCAGTTATTTCATGTCAAAAAACATATACTGATTAGAATGATAGCAGGCAAAGATACATCTTGGCAGCCTTTGCAATCCAGTTCCATCATTCCAAAAAAATATGTCAAGGCATTCTGCCTGCGCAACTGGAAAGTGTTCCTATCATGGCAGGACCTTCTCCACCGGGGGAATCTTCTGTGCCGAGGCTCGTTGCTGTACTTCTCTTCTGTCTCGTGCCTGGGAAATCGGACCCATGACTTGGCAGTGCCCCTGATGGGGGAAAGTAGCTCGTTGGTTAAAGATAACATAGCTACCAAGGGGGGCCCCCCTAGTTATAAGTTGGTTTATAAGCCCCAATAACTATATTTATAAGTACCATAAACCATAGTTATTGGAGTTATGTGCACCAACTTAGCTATCGAACGGGGGCCCCACTTTGTACAGTAAGGTAAAATCATTCGTCCCCGGGTAACTATTGCCCACCAGAAGTTCCACAAAAACGTGCATGTTTCATACGAGGAGCATAGTAGTGCGAGGTATGATTTCTAGGTACATCGGGGTTCATGCCCACGAAACAGGGCATGTTCGTTCCCTATAAAGGTCAACTTTTGCGGGGCTAACCACTATTCACCCTCCTGTAAACTAACATAGATGTGGCAAACCCACTGTTTGTAAATCATTTTCCGTTTTTGTCCACATCTTTTTCCCACTTTTTTTTATGTTTGCTCTAGGGTATTCGTTGAACCTCATTAACCAAACAAAACTTCCGGAATCACCGGTGAACCCCCTTTCTTCCAGTCGCGCCAAGTCGCAGAAAGCCGTAGAGAGCATTCATTCGAGTTGCCTCGCCGCTGTCCGGAAAGTCGACGACCAAAATCGATACATCTAAAGTAAAGCAAGTAAATAGAAACACATAAACAGACACTGGAAAGAATATGTTTATTGGATCTGATTGGAATCAAAAGAACAAGATTGCTTTGTGCTTCTCAGGAACACCAGCAGTTTCGCTATGTTACGTTCTATCGTGTCCTTCCCTTTGGAGTTTTTTCAAGGTGGAAAAAAAGATCCGAAATAGATCCTATCTATATGGCTATAACATGTGTATACAATATATACATATACATATATGCATATAAACACATTTACACATATACACGTATGCACATATACACACAGATACATATACATACATACATACATACATACATACATACATACATACATACATACATACGTACGTACATACATACATACATACATTCATACATACATACATAACATAAAATAAAATAACATAACATTACATTACCATTACCATTACCATTACCATTACCATTACCATTACATTACATTACATTACATACATACATACATATATGGTATCATATGACATATATATATATACATATATATATAATTACATAAATAATTACATATATAATTACATATATAATTACATATGTAATTACATATATAATTACATATATAGTTACATATATATATATATATACATATGTGTGCATATGTATATATTGTATATATATATATATGTATATTGCATATGTTGTGTGTATATATATAAACATACACCAAGCAATGAAAATGTCCCCCCCAGTTTCTTCCGCGACGGCCTCATGGTTGCCACGGTTCAAATGAACGGCACGAGGATAGCACACCTTCAGCGCCAGCAAAAGGAAGGCCACCTCCACGGAAAATTGACCTCGATCCACCTGAGAAGTGGAGAGAGGGGATGGCGCAGGACAAGGTGATTTTAATGGGATTTTAATTGGACTTCAATGGTGATTATTCGTGGGATTTCATGGGATGTAATGGGATTTTGATGGGATTTAATGGGATGTTGACGGGCTTTAATGGGGATTTCATGGGATTTTAATGGGAAATTGATGGGTATAATGTGGTAAACCCATGTAAACTCAATAATTAGCAACTACCATTTGTGGATGGTATTTACCACCCATCTCTATGGTAGTTTATAATTGGGTTTGCCACGTTATAGATGATTTACATTATGAAAAATGATGGCTTTCCATAGCTACGTTAAATTACTAGAGGGTATGCTGGAGATGCAATCGCAAAGGGTAGGGAAGGATGGGAATTACTGATTGATTCCGCGCTTTCTGAATCACTCGTGGTCACTTTTTTTTGCTGTTTGTTTCACAGTATTTCGGAAAGGGCCCTTTTTGAAGTACGTAGTCTAACCTTCCTAATCCTCTTATCTGCCAGGGCTGTCAAGCTTGAAATTCCCGGTTTCCACACCATCCAAACACAACCTTGTCCCTATTCTATATGGAACAGGTGGTTTGCCTTCACGTTGGCTCAAATATCACTGAGCGATGGTTTCAATCCCAAAATCATGTCAAATAAATCTTCAACCATGTCGTCAACTTGGATAACCTTCACAAATAGGGATCGCAAACAGAGAAATGATTGGAGACTCACTTGGCTAAGGCTCAAAACCCTGGTAGCTTTCTGTGCACGTCGAAACAGCTAGTATAGCTGGATGTTCATCCCCCCAAACATGGTATCATAGGTTTTAACCGTTTAACGGTTTAACCGTTTGACCGTTTAACCGTTTAACCGTTTAACCTATCCCCATTTCTTAAGCCACAAACGTTAAAAAAAAACGGTTTCCAGGTCACGAAGTCGCCATTGAAGAGATACTGATTCCGTGGCGACGGATCCTTGGATGCAAGCGATTCACCAAAGGACCTGAAGGGGAACCCGGGATGAGCCACTGGCAGCCACTCAGCTGCGTGCCAAGGATCCCCACACATCTCTAACAAGTGCAACAGGTCCCAGAATTGGCCATGCAAATCGCCCACCACGTGCCTCGCATCGAGAGCATCCCGGAGAACATGGCTAGACCCTTTCAACTGCATTTGGACTCAGTCGCCGATCAAGTTGCATGCAGTTCTAGACATCGGTTTGATGGTTCGTGTGGAAACTACAGACATAAAGTTACACTTTATCCAGATCCTTCCCATGCCCCGGAATTCTGACATATCTGCACCATCTAGATCCGTCTCTGCATCCGTTTCCATTCCTTTCCACCAAGTGTCACAGTAGAGCCGACGGGCACCTGTCAGCGACGTGCGACCAAAGCTGGATGATCCTCTCCCAAAAATTCATGGAAAACTCTACGATGTGGTGCCCCCCAATTTTGTGTGTATATATATATATATAAGTTGGTTTATAAACCCTATTAACTATAATTAGTTCTAAGTACCATAAACCATAGTTATTGGAGTTCAACTATAGGACTTTTTCATGGTCTTGATCCATACCCAGCTGTCCATACCTGCAACTTCACCATGTTCTCCTCTCTTCTCAGCAGCTCTGCTGCTTTTCCCACCACTTCCGAGGCATCGGCCTGGCTTACAGGGAAAGTGATGATGATAAACCAGGATTTGGATGGATTTGGATGCATTTGGTGGCTATTTCCAGACAAACCCGCCGTATTTCCACCAAGGTCTCCATTAAAAAAAACGCTTCCGGATCAGCACCTGGTTCGGCAAAATCCGTTGTCGCATTCCCTCGATCCACCGGTGCACGGACTCCTGCGGACATGGTGGCACATTCACTGACGAAAAAGCGGCGGGCAATCCCAATCAATCCCAGCCCCCTGTTGAGTACCCCAGCCAGGAATCCTAGTTTAAACGGTTTAGTATTGGATGGATTCACATTGGGGACCTCGAGATCTGATTTTTTTTCATGTTAGGGGGATGGATTACCAAGAGAAAGTGTGGACATGAGAACCGCTCAACTCCCCTGCATGGCGCATGGCCATGGAATGGATGGGACATGGCCAATGGCCCCGAGGCACGTGAGTTTACTGTACAAAAAATTGATCATCATGTGCCGCTTTAGAAAATGTTTATAAGCCGGACGTGAATCCTCCATTCGTGAACAAACCTCTGTCAGAACCGCATTCTAATGCTCATGCTAAAGTAGGAAAAACGCTCACATGTTTTGAACCCAAATCATATCCATCACAGATCCTGGATGCACATTATACATATCTCTATATATATATATGGTACATACATGGAATCTATCCATATATATATATATACACAAAGTATATACATAGTATGTATCTATATATATATACAGTATACCCCATCAACAACCCCAGACTTTCAGCGCCACATCCTGGTGCAGCCCGAAGCGTGGCAAATACTGTCGCGTGCTTTGAGGCTTGGCCTCGGCATTTTTCGCCCAGGAATGGGTGGTTCAATGATGGGTGAATGGCGGGATGAACTTCTGGATGAAATTCATGGCTTCCCCAAGAATCATCTACTTTCATGGAGAGTTGTCCATTTTTTGTGTTCATTTTCCACATGGCGTATGTTCACCATCATCTGGGGCATTGTTGTTGGAAAATTGAGAAATAACTATATAATAGGATAATAATCAACCGTTTTACGGTGATATCATGGGATGTAGTAGGATATATATATATATATAACCAACCACAATACAAGATGCGGGGATAAAATCACATTGTCATATTGGGGTGTGTCTCAAAATGGATTTACCGCGAATTTATAAAGCGGAAAATGATGTTTATCTACCCCAATTTCACATAGAGTCATTTTACCACAGGAAAAAATGAACAGTTGCCCTAATTTTAATGTCCAACGTATGGCAATTGCATAAATTAAGGGGAAAATGATGATCGACCATGGAATGGGGTACCTGTACCTTATTTTCAGGCAGCACCTGTCAGTTAAACACCATTCAACCACCATTCGACCTGGCGTTAAATCCCCCAGAAACCCAAAGAAACATAAAGACCAGTTCAAAATTCGCTACAGCTTCCATTTCTTGGGACAATCAGCCGACTTTTGGCAGCTCACAATTCTCAATTTATAATGCGTGTTGATCTCTGACTGACTATGTGTTCCACGCGTGATGCTAAAGCAAAAATGGAAAGATTCAAAGGCTTCGTTGATAGCTAGGAACCACAAAGGTCAGCACATATGTATACCAATTGGTGGTTTTAACCCCCCTGAAAAAAGTCAGTCAGATTGGATCATCATCCCAACTATTGGGGAAAATAAAAAATGTTCCAAACCACCAATTTCTCCAATTTCGCCGGCGCACAAGCTTAGTAAACGAAGCCAGTGCTGTTCACTGCAGACATGCTATGTAGTCCTAGGAAACATATTGTCTCGGCTAGGAACAGGAAGGTGGTCCAACTCCTTTGACTGACGTCGAAATGGTGTGGCAGTATACGACAGAAACCAGCGATCAACTGCAATCAAACGCTCTGTCGGCCATGGCACTGCAAGGCAACTGGCATGCATTGCTATCATTTCACTGTGCGGTCTTACATAATCAGAAACAACTTTGACTCCTGAGTGCCGCAAGATTTCACGCAAGACCTTGGCAAAGGACCTGGCCCGACATTTAAACCCAATACTTAAGAGACCCTGCAAAGGCATATCAGCTCCATCTTTCCAACCTCCAATGTTAATAGGCCCTACTTCTCCAGTCGACAGCGCAAAATCCACAAATAACTGAGCATACGACACCCAGAGACATGGGAGCTGCGTGTGCTGCACAACAGGCCAGAACCATGAAACCAGCTTCTGCACAATGCTAGAGCCGTACCATCGCACGGCACCTTGAGGTAAAACAGGCAAATCTGGCAAGGGCTGCCAAGTCTGAATCGGGACAGAGGTAATGGGGACACTCTCAGGTTCAGCTTCATGATTGTTCACCCCTTCCAAGACCTGTTTACTTACCGCCAACAGAACTTTCTGGATTTGAGCATTCCAAGCATCAACTCGCACACATGCGGCAGTATGCCTAGCAAGCAAGTCCCAAAAATCCGCAGGACGTAAATCTTGAGCATGTGCAGCTGCACGATCAGCAAAATGATTATGTTGAAAACACCACTCTTCCAACAAGGTGTTGGCTTCCTCCAGGTTTCTGTGAGCCGTCACCTTGGTGCAGTGGATCTCACAACTTCCCTCTTGTAAATCATTTTGAATACGGAGCCACAGATCTGCATTGGGAGAATTGATCTTGACTCTTGCACCTCCAATGATCCTACGCAAACGTCGAACCACGGAAAGACAGTCTGACCAGATCATAACCCTCAAACCATACGTGGCAGCAATACGAATTACACGATGCACTGCAAATAGCTCAGCCCGGACAGAGGTCTGACGAAGCCCTGGAAGTGGTCCACAGTCGAGCACCCTAGCCGGCTGGAGCATAGCAGGATCAGCAGTGACCACAGCATAAGAGGCGAACCTTGCTTCTGGGTAGGCAGGGTTACAACAGCTTCCATCAGTGAACACATGCAGCATATCACCAGCAACATCTGGGGCAACTGGAAGGTCAGGACAGGCAATGTTATGCAGGAAACCATACCACTCAACACACGTGGTAGGGCGAAGGGCCCAACCATAACATGTAACGCATTCAGGAAGCTCAGGAAGAGCCGCAAACAACTCATCATCAACCCCTTCCCGACAGGCCTGGAAGGAGGGGCATTGCCAGAATCTATGAAAACGAGAGTCCACACACGGGCAATACATGCAGACGTCAGACTCACTCTCCTGGCAATAGTGCTTAGCATCCTGAGTGATGTGGGCCCCATTCAACAATTTCCGATAGGCTGCCCTGTCAGACACAGAAAGAGACATCAGCCACCGACGTGTCTTGCCTGGGTCAACGCGAGCAAGTTCTGACAAACCAGGTCTATGTGCAACACTGGAAGCAACCACTTTGAGCCAAGACCATTCCATTCGCCATTTCAGCTCTTCCATGCAGAGTTCAAAGATTGAAAAGCTGCCAAAGTCATCAACCACACTCATAGCGCTCGGGATATGCCAACCAAGAATCTGCAACCTTGTGAGCAAAGTGGCAGTAATTCCATTGCGCATAACACCATCAACATCGTGGACAAGGGCGCCCAGTGCACTACCGACAACTTCCGCAATACCACAATCCCTGACTAAGCGAATGGTCTGAACAACGGCCCAAAATTGAGGATCTGTAGTGGGCTGTTCAATGAGGCTCAGATGAACCATTGCATTGCAACCTGATCCAGAAGCATTGAGCCCTTTCATAGCAGCTGCACGAAGGCTACTAAAATGTTGTGAGGCAATAGTGGTTGCCGCAATGGCATGAAGCCCCCTGGGCCATGCAGCAGTTCTAATAGCACGGACTTTGAGTTCATATGGAGAGGCAGAAAGCTTCAACCGAGACCACATGGCTTGCATAGCATCAAGACGTTTGGTTTGGGTCCCATTTGTATGCTTACGCGAAATTTGGACATGCGCTCCCAGCACCCGGCAACAGTTCTGAACTCTGAATCCATGAGCGGCAAGCACCTTGCGTCCTTGCCCACAGACTGACCAAGCAAAGGTCTTATGGTCATCCAACAGCATGTCAAGGGCATCAGTAAATCTACTAAGGCACCTTCGAATACCTTCCAGCATGTCTGGAGATGTAGTAATGATGGTCCAATCATCCACATAAGACACCGGCTGACACAAGGGAAAGAAACAAACATGCCATTCATGGAAAAGGATGTCAACTATCAGCATACCTAAGCACGAAAGCCCATCTCCTTCCGGCATTCCAGTGGAGCTGAAAACATTCCTGGTCAGATTCGAACCTATCTGAAATCGACGCCCAACTTTCACTAATGCACCCGCCCGGGCTGTAAGCAAAGGGAACGGGAGGCCAAGCAAGGCAGCTGCTTCAAACACCACTACCCTAGGAATGTGATTGAAGGCTTTTTGCAAATCAGCAA